AGGTGCCTGACTCTCAATAGACTACGCAGGTGGTGGGGTCGTGCCATCTCTCTACACCCTTGGCGGCGTACCGTCGAGGTGAAACGTCATAAAGTTAATGTAGTAGCTACTTAGTGTTGAGAGGCACTTCTTGGCGTTGAGAGAGTGACTTATATGCGGTGACAGCCATTTCTTAGCTTTGGGACAGTGACTCATTAGCATTGAGAGTTTGGACAGTTTATTCTTAGCTTTGAACTTAACGGCATCGAAACAGGAAATTCTTAGCGTTGAGGCAGTGACGTTAGCGTCTAGGTCTGGCATTAAAAAAACGGCAACTTCCTGGCGCTGAGGTAGGAACTTCCGCGTATAGAGACGGAAGTTTTAATGTTGAGACAATAACTACCCAGCGTTGAGACAGTGACCTCCTAGCGTTCAGAGAGTAAATTTCATGCATTCAAGACAATAACTTTCCTGCATTTATACAGGAGGTTTCAGCGCTCAAAGAATAACTGCATTGTATAAGCTAACCCAACCTAATGTAGATATGGTTCATTTGTATTGTATCCAGCAAACTGTAGAGAGAGAGAGAGAGAGAGAGAGAGAGAGAGAGAGAGAGAGAGAGAGAGAGAGATGTACCGTAAGTTCATGACTATTTCAATACATGATGTAGTACCCCAGACCTTGTTCAGCCAGGAAAAAGATATCCAGTAACAACCTCATAGTGACCACACACCCTTATGATGAATCAAGTCACCTCACTACATACATCAGGTGTTGCAGTCATATTCATAATACCTGTCATTTCATTGTGTGTTATTTGTTGTAAGTTAACTGTTTCTCCAGCATTCGGCATTTGATTAACACTATAATACTAGTTTTTAAGTAATTTGTATAATATTATAGAAATTATTATTAAATAGTTTGCAATTATTACACATTGTAAGGACAGCTTCTGGCATTTTAAGTAAGATCTCATTAAATAATATAAAATCTCACAGTCACAGTCCCGTTAACAGAACCCCAAACTCAGGCACACCGGGATTGGGGCCTCGTCAACGGAACTGTATTAACCAATAAGATTATATTATTGAGGTCTTTACCGTATATAATCTTGAATGAGGTCTTAAAAATTGAAATAACCTTAAGTGTTATCTCCTCTGGGAATGACTTTTTATGGCTTCCATATTATCAAAATAAATCTTTGTCTCTTCCCAGCGGTTTCTTTTATTGTATATCATTACGTTAGCTGTGTTTATATAACTATAGAGAAGCCTGTCAATCCGTCCACTTGCTAACTATAATCATCTGCATAATCTGACCCATCAAATTAAGTCCTTCAAAATTTACATTGATTAACATAGCATGACGAGTCAAGCAGAGCGACCGCCTTTACAATGCAGATTCTGAAAGCTATTTTTGGTCCCAAGGCCACCTACAGAGCTTGTCAAACCACCTTAATATCTTAACGTTGCCAGTGATAAACTGGTCGTTGCTGTGGAGGACCCATTTTACACAGTTATGACCGTCGGTAGGATGAGTTAGGTCACAGACGAGTGTCAAGGGCATTATGACACGAGACTACGGGGCTTAAAGGAAGAAAAAGTGATGAGTCCATCAGAAAGATTTTGTTTAGATGTCATGAATGGAATTAGCTTGTTAAATACCTGACTTCGCCCGAGTCTCTGTCTTTAGAACTGTAGATATGCTTCCGACCCGCAGGTGGGGGGATCGTAGTTGGCTGCTGTGGGGCCGACAAGAGATAATACTCGACCATGCCCTAGGTAACCCGCACCTCCCTATCTAATGTTAGCCTTGATCTCCAAAACAGCGGACACATACACACAAACACTCATACAGGGAACGTATTATATAGTGGGATTTTTGTAGAAATTAGTGTGTGTATATTTACTACTATTTTCAATAAGTACAAAGGTTCAAAATTATTTACTCGAGTTAATCTTCTTACTTTTATATTTGAGACATAATTTTCATCTTACCGTAACTCAATTTCACATCATGTTACTTCATCTACATGCTGTAAGGCGTGGTGATCAAACAGTCGCATAGCCTAAAGGCCCTATACTGTAATATGTGAATTCCCACCACCTCTGTATTAGGATCATCGACCTTAAATCCCTTGTATGGTCCGTTTACACAAGTCTCACTGAACACAATATTCATTCCAGCTTTTCTATGGTTTTAAGCGTGATGTTACCCGGAATAGATGTCCTTCCAGTAATTGACATGTGTGAATGATATGTCTTGAAACATAAGTAAACTGTTTTATGAATCAACTCATTCGAAACAAGCACAAACAAAATGATCGTTAACCATAATTATCTAAACAACAACAACAACAACAATAATAATAATAATAATAATAATAATAATAATAATAAAAATAATAATAATAATGATAATAATAATAATAATAATAATAATAATAATAATAATAATAATAATAATAATAATAAAATCAGAGGTCTGAGTACATCTGATACGGGTACAAGTCAATCGAAATTATCAGTTAAATTCGAATTGAAGAAATTATACAGAGTAATTTAACAGGTGATCACCTAATGAACTGTCGAATGTAATTATCAATAATACTAATTAAATCTAGGACTGATATTTCAAATATTTTCTCCTTATTAGTCATCACTGGTTTAAGAGTTTAAGAGGGTTTAATAGCCCCTTATGGTCAGCAATATGTCAATAGTTACCGCACAACTATAACACCATTTGGTACCTGCAATGTTATTTTAATTTATCAAGTTTGTTTACACCATTGTCATATTTTTTTTATCCAATAATTTTTTTCATTATGATTTTTTTTTTTACAGACGTGCGGATAAAAAGTTCATGGTTCATAGAGGTTTGGATAATGATATCATAAGTCATTCATATTATATTCTCCTCTATTAACTTCATTCTCTCTTATGTTGGTTCTACTTGGGGTCACCTGCCTTAAGAACACAGATGTTTGTTGCTAAAATAATCATCTACTTTTATTAAATTTAGAAAATAAATTGTACCAAGTAAAATGTCTACAAAATTGTAAGGTACGGATGCATTTAATCTCTCTCTCTCTCTCTCTCTCTCTCTCTCTCTCTCTCTCTCTCTCTCTCTCTCTCTCTCTCTCTTCTATAGTTCTTTGATATAGACGCTCGTTCTTTACCATTTAATTCCCGAATAGTATTATATTATCGCATGTTGTTCACTATTTACTCTCTCCTGTGTTTTATCCTTCACAGTTCAGACACGTCAGGTCAGGATATAATGAGTTTATACGTTGTAAAGTCTCTATCCTTATGATGTGATCTTGGTTCTGTTATAAGCTCAACGTACTAGCTCACTACCTACTAGCTTACTACCTACTACCTCATTACCTACTAGCTTACTACCTACTAGCTCGCTACCCACCAGCTCACAACTTTGTAACTTTGTCATTAAAATTAATCTTACCATAACTTTGTACTATATTACGTATTGGTCAGTCTATGTTCAGGAAAGGTCTAATTAATAAATATAAATTAGTATCCGTCTCATTCTACTAATGACCTGGTTTCGTATATCACAGATTATGATTCGTTAATGTGAGTAAAGATGAAAGGTGCAATTTATTAGTATATATTTAAAATTTTTCCTCTTCATCATCTTCAGATTTAAAAAAAAATTCGGTTGATTTCATTATGTTTTTAGTGACACCGACAGTCACACACGTAATACGGTTCCCTTTGTTCTCTTCATGTTTGTTTTGTGATCACTTTAAGCACAAGGAATCAGCCGACACTCATAAGTCTTTGTACTTCAGTCTCAGATGAATACTGTAGGTAATAAGTTATAACACTTAGGGCAAAGATCTCAAAAAAAACCCAGAAGTTTCTTTTCTGTCGTTGGAAACAAACTGACGTGTCTCACTTGACCTTTAAGTTATGAACTATATACATTATGTTCACTAAAAACTCTATAATACGAATAGATATCTTTCTCCCTTATACCTTCCTGGCTTATGATAGTTTACGTAGGATAACGGGTAGCGAGGTGTAGACAGACTCCTTAATAATTGCACATCTAGCATCTAGATATACGACGTCTGTGATGACATGGAATACTAATCTTAAACCTACATCCTCCCTCGTAACTCTCTTTTGTGATTTGTGTATAATACTGGACATGAAATTTTAACCAACTTTCGTCTTTCACCTTTTGACGCATTTTGATAAGAATTTAATGTGCAGATGTATAACAAATGTGACTCCGCGAGATTTTTAAGTTAATAAGAGCAAAATAGGAGACGAGAGAGAGAGAGAGAAAGGAGTAGATGCAAAACCTAGGTTCTTCTATCGTTGATGATGCACCGATAGCGAGTTAAGTGATCCGAGCACCATGTAAACCCTCACACTCAGCATGTTGCGAGATGACATGAAGCAGAGTATCTCCAAGTCTCACCCAACCTAGGCGTTACCTTACTCAGTCTCCATAATCTTCTTCACTAGGGAAATATAGTTTTGTCATTCTCACTTACATTATGTCCAATATTTCCTCATTTTTTTCGGTCAACTCTTTTAGGTTAATTCAATTGAGGGATCAATTAGCAGTCAGAAGTCCTTGTCACTTTCTACCAAAAGATGTTTGAATTCGTTGATAGCTTATGTCATCTCCTTCCTTCGCCTCCTAACTGTCACAAGGTGCTACCAGTCCAAGACAGATGATGCTCCTTCACCTCTCTGGTGGATATCCCTTTATGTTTCCAGGGGATGATTTCTCATAGTCACTGTTCTAGCCGGATGAGTTCTGTAACGTCACCCCTTCATCACTCTGGAGGGGACGATATTCCCTCACTAGTGCGAACAAGAGTCATCACGGAACAACAACTACGTGTGGAGTAAGGTGAGTGAGTGGGTCACGCCTCAGCAGCGGATGGTTGCCGCCGTGAATGTTCCTCAGGGAGACGATGTCCTTCATGCCCTCCCCTTTCCCCCTTTTTTCAATGGACGCGACGGCTTCTTTGTGCTTACCTTGTTAGCGTAGACGCTGGAGGTGAGAAGGACCAAAAGAAATAGGATATCTCGGTAATTGCAGAGTAAAGCGACAAGTGGGGAACGCGCCCCCATAGTGGCGTGCAGTGACACGACGTCTCTGCTTAGACACTGAAATTATTCCGGGTCCGCTGCTGGCTGTAACCTCTGCTGTTCTGTAGCTGCTGTTGTGGACAGCACCTGCTGTGACAGCAGTTGAGGCGCAGGAGATGGTTACTGCTGCACAGGTCGTCCAACCTCTAGAGCAGACCACTTGTGGCCTCGCCCCTTAGCCACGTCGGACCCCGCGCACCTGCACACCCATACAGCCACCTTCTCTTCGTACTCCACTTTTGTCGCCCTCCTGTGTCCAGGCCGCTAGTGATGAATGACACTCGCCTCCAGAAGCATCAAACATCCCAAAAACCTATACAACGAATAAAGTAGCTATTTTCAATAAAACTGAAATTGCTCCGTCTCTCACAGTTGTTTGTCAGATAAGCTCTGGCAACTGATTTCAATTTTGACACCTGTAACTTGTCACCTGCGAGCCCACGCACGTTTTATAGAACCCACACATGCCTCAGTCCATACACACCTCTAATTAATCCATCGTCACGTTAGTTTTACTGCGTCACATTAATAAACTCTAGAGATAACTCCATTCAATTAAATCTCTATAATATCTGCTGTAGTTTCACATCACATAAAACAGTAAATATATGTTAAGTATATGCAATTACTTATGTTACATATGTTTAATTAATATAGAATACGCACAAGTCATGGTGGTAACTATGTACAGAAAATCTCCAGTAACAGGGTATTTGCTTGACTATAATAGATTTGCCTTAAATTGACACACTGTCATATCATATAAAATAAATTCATCAATGATATTTAATACCAGAATTAACTGCAGTGTGTCTTACGTAACTACATGACCTTTACCAGTCTGGCTCTCAATCTCATGTATGATGGGACCCTTCTAATGCTTTATAAAAGTTTCAGTAATAAATATTTGCCCATTTTTTTCTCGACATCAATTGGTGTCAGCCGCCTCATCTGTAAACAGATATTATTGCGCCACCTTCAAACTACGGAGTGTTAATATGACCTACTGACAAAATGACGAATATGACTTAGTTTACCTTAGACAAGAAACATAAAAGAACATAATATAACTGCTTAATAAAAGGTTCTCATATACCCTGCATTTAAAGAGTTGTATTCCGTAGGTGGATGGAAGAATGTGAGGAAAGACGTCAGTAAACGATAATCAGGTTCTATTAAATGTAACTTGTCCAGACTAAAGACGGCTGAGACTGAAAGATGGGAGACTGATAAATTAGATTCCATTAAGTATATGACCCTGAAAATAACGGCAGATCACCAGACGATAAGGAGGCGGTAAGGAGGAAGTGAGGGAGACGGTCGACGGTAAGATGATCAACTCTGGACAATTTTCTCTGACGATGAGAGTAATTTTTCGTGTGAAGGTTAAATTGGGTGTTGTATAAGTTACCCGTAAAAGGACACCTAACCTTTTTGATGCATTGCTTATATCTTTAACAGTGGCTGAAAATATTCAAAAGACCGACTAATATATGGTACCTACACGACGTATAACACAATGAGGGAGAGATGGTTGAACATAAAGCTTTTAGTGCAAAGTTAGTACGAAAAGGAATGGAGTCAATATACTTTTTTTTTACGATTCATTGATACTTTTGGTCAATGGCTGGAATGGGGCTGTTTTTGCGGCGGTCTGTATGAAGTCTTATGCATTGGTTTGATGTGGTTGTGGTTTAGAACAGCATTTCGTGAGCGAGGACTTTCTTGTGGCAGAAGGTGGCGGCGCCAATGGCGTTATGGAGTAGGAACTTATTTTTTTTTTTCTTCTCATACTTCCCTCTCCCTTCCCTTCTCATTTCTAATCATTTTCTTCCCCATCCTCTGTGTCCTTGTTCTTCTTTTCAGTTTCCCTTATCGACTCTTCTCCAAATTTGACCAATATTAGTTCCTCTTAAGGCTCACCTGACACCTGTGTTCAGATCATCTAACGTTCACCGTGACCACGAAAGGCCATCATCCCTCAGCAAAATCCATAAAGAACATATTTTTTAGCTCAAACTAGTCTCGATATTTTCTGCTACACACACACACACACACACACACACACACACACACACACACACACAGATCAAGATAATAAACTTAAAGCCTTACAGTAAGAGGAGTAACAACATCTCGAGGAGGTTGATCTTAGGGCTTCATATAGATAACTTAAACTTGAGGTATATCATGATATTCGTTCTGCATGACATCTGGGGAAGCCTGAAGGTGTGTTGCGTGACATCACGAAAAATGGCATGGCTTCACGTTCGCCATTTTTTCAAGATTTTGAATGTCTTTAAGAGATCAGCCGTATTGTGTCTTGCATGAAGAGTTATTAGTCCTAAGGCCCTCAGAGTACTTGGACAATTGAGATGACATACTCGTAGTTCAGGAATCATCTTAATTGCTCTGTGTTGCACTTTTCTAGGTTTGTTAAGTCTTTCTTGAGGTAGTGTTTCCTTGCCTGTATACTATAATCCAGATGAGGACACACGAGATGCTTATATATGAAGCTACGACATATAATTCCTAAATCCCGGTTGGGTATTTTTCACTACTACTCCCACTTGTTGTGCTGCCTTCAATGGCTGATCTATACGAATCACCGTACATTTCCACCGCAAACTTACGGTCCTCTTATATGTTTATGGGTGGAGAAGAAAACAAAATCGTAGATAAATAAATGAGCTCTGGAATGCATGGTCGTCTGGCACCTAACACCTGGTGTCGGGGCTTCATTACTCTTCCGCTAATAACTTACCAGACTGACAGTCGGGTAGTCCCCAGCAGGGTTGCGTATTCTCGCTTTCCTTAAGTACCATCCCCTGTGTGCAGCCTATAATGATATTTACAGTCTTCATGATAATATAACTATGCATTTTACATGATTTTATCGGGTGCCCATTCTTGTTATATACAGTAGTTAAGTCTTAACAGCTGCAGAAACGAATATCTTTTGTCAATGCCGAATTATATGTATAATCATTAGAAACTTATCGATAACTGTTTTCCATTTATTCTCCTTTTAGGTATCTGACAGCTGAGGAAATGACAGGCGGCTTACTACACTTATGGACTATGGCGATACTCAGCCAGCCAGGCTTTACTATAAATGTATATGTATTTTCCTAAAAGTTGCTGTGTGTGTGTGTGTATGCATGTGTGTGTATGCATGTGTGTGTGTGTGTATGTGTGTGTGTGTGTGTGTGTGTGTGTGTGTGTGTGTGTGTGTGTGTATCACTTGAGGGGGGGGGCGGTAATGCAGGGGTCAGCGATAGTAATATATAACGAACAGAATCACCCACTAGTAAACCCAAATATATGGACACCTTTAGATCAGCTGTCCGAGGTAAGATGGACTCTAAGAAACAAATTTTTTTTTAACCTGATGTGCATTGATCTACAGTATTATGTTATGATCATTAGTAGTGATGCTTTAGGATTTATTACTGAAACTGTATAACTCTTGGAATATTTTAACACTGAAGGAAGATTAGAGATGGAATATTACAGTGTAGGGATAATAATGATTGAATTATTTTTACTTTTTTGTTGGTGTTTTATTTTCTTCGTCATTGTCTTGTTCTTTTACCTTCATATATTAGATTATAACTTGAGTTGAATACAGTCAGCTAAGTAGTGTATAAAGTTATTTTTTTATTATTATTCACATGACACTAACGTTAACCCCGAGAAAATACATCAATTTAAAGTTTGAATTGTCGATGTCTTGTATATGATGTAATCTAGTAATACATTAGCATCACGTAATTGTATAAGTGTATCTCTCTTAACTGTATATTGTTGATAACTAATGTATGTAGTTGAGCGCAGTGATACATTATAATATTTTCCAAAGGATTCTACTGACAATAATCATCTGATGGCTACCCCAGCTATCCTTGGTCGAGTTGCCAAATTGCTTACTGTTGTTGTATACTTAATAAATTGCAAACCTGCACTGTCTATATACATGTAGATATATATGATGATTTTATTGAATAAGTATTGTGAAAAATCTTATTTTTTGTCCTTTGCATAATACAAACTTTAAACGAATAACATAATTTTAGAACTTGTAGTAAGGAAAAATATATAGTTAATTTTTGGCATTATTCTATACTTTACATATCTTGAGGTTCATGCTTGCAGTTTTAGCTGTGTGAACTGCCATCCGTAGTAGCGTAACACACCCTGTACTAAGCGTCCAGTAATTTGACCGGGAGACCCTATGGAAAGAGGCAAACGCAGTCAAGAATGTAAATTTCCTGTGAGTCTGTGATTAATGTCAGTTTTAAACGGGAGTGTCACAGGTGTCTTAGTCACAGCTGATCAGGTTACTGTGACATCTAAATGGACACAGCCAACGCCTTTCTAAGTCACACGCCAGCTAAGACTCAGTGTGTGTGGAAAGATACTGAGTTCCTGCTAGAATAGGTACATTAATTCACATACAGTATAGAGTATTATTAGATCAGAACGCTTTGGATATCCATGTATCTCGTAAGATTGTCCAGGGGTCTAGATCCAGTTATTTTTCATCTAAGCTTCAAAATTATAGCCTCTTACCTACCCGATCCTGTACCACTTAGCCCTTACTTACCCGATCCTGTACCACTTAGCCCTTACTTACCCGATCCTGTACCATTTAGCCCTTACTTACCCGACCCCGTACCACTTAGCCCTTACTTACCCGATCCTGTACCACTTAGCCCTTACTTACCCGACCCCGTACCACTTAGCCCTTACTTACCCGACCCCGTACCACTTAGCCCGTACTTACCCGACTCCGTACCATTTAGCCCTTACTTACCCGACCCTGTACCACTTAGCCCTTACTTATCCGACCCTGTACCATAGCCCTTACTTTAACTCTTACCCACCGACCCTGTACGATTTAACTCTTTATCCACACGTGCCTCGACACCGTGGAGGAGTGGTCATCGTACTGGCCTGATTCAAATCCTCACTTGGAGGGACATTTGGTAACGAGTATGAACCAGTACCACCCTGTGTGCCTCGACACCGTGGAGGAGTGGTCATCGTACTGGCCTGATTCAAATCCTCATTGAAGGGACATTTGGTAACGAGTATGAACCAG